CGAATATTAACTAGCATGCTAGCATGCAAAAAAAAATCGATAGATGCATTCGTCACAAGTGGGTAAAATTTAAATCTGCATGGCACTTTACACCAATTGGCTCATTCGCTTGCTTAAACTCAACGTTGATTCTGATTCCGCAGAACTGGGTTGGGTGTGAAAAAGTATTTGTTGTTAACATTCTTTTTTCATTTGGTTTTTCCAGTTACGAGTCCTTTTTTAAAGCTGATCGTTTTGTGTTCATTTTGTTTAGTTATTTTTTCGTAACAGATTTAATGTTTAGTATAAAGCTTAGAAAAAAATCGCAGTGTGAGAAGAAGTAAGGCATGTAGCAACATCAGCACGGCAAAGGGCACTCCTTTAAAGGCAAGGAAGGGCAAAAGTCGTACGATTTTTTAATCAAGCACGGGCAACGCCGGGCCATGCTGCTAGTTATTATTATTATTATTATTATTACCTCCTTTATATATGTATAAACCTAAACTGTTTCCAACATTAACAGAGCATCGTGCGAAGGCTTCACTTGTGACCGCCACTACAGCACTGTTTTCTGAAGTCCGTCAGTGGGGATACAAATCTTGAAAATCAAGTTGGTAGAGGTTGTTCATCTGTAATTGACAATCAACATTTGAAAAGACTATTCGAGCAAAACTCAGGACGGAGCGTCAGAAAAATATCGATACTTATGTTAGTATTTCAAGAGCATCGCAGTATCTCAAGAGAATTGGCAAAGTGAAGAAACTCGATAAGTGGATTCAAAGAAACTCGATAAGTGAAAGTCAAAGAATCCGACATTTTGAGGAGTGTCCGATGCTGCATCTGGGAAATTCAAATGATCGATTTATTGATCGAAAATTGACACGTGATGAGAAATGGATTATGTAAATGGTAAACGATCGGCTTGATCAAGACGAATTACCAAAAACACTTTGCAAAACCAAAATTGCACCAACAGAAGATTATCGTAACCTGCTGGTGGTTGTTAACCATCACAGCTTTTTGGAACTTTACCAAAATATATTTACTGCCAGCAACAGAATGAAACGCACATTTAGTTAAACAAAACGCGAGGTCCAATTCCGCTTCGTGACAATGGTCGGCCACATGTTGTCAGGATTTCACTGCAGATGTTTGCCAACTTAGGATATGAGATTTTGACACAGCCGCCATTTTCCCCTGATTTCCTTCTCACTTAATAACATATTTTTAAGCATCTTAACAATTCTTAAGACAAAAGACATTCCGTTACAAAGTTGTATAAAAGGAATTCAAACAGATTTCAGTGTTCAAAAATATTGCTTTAACTCGATGCAGAAATGTATAGAGGTCCACAGTTAATATTTCTAATGATTTAAGCACATTATTATTTTCTAAACAATTTAATACATACAAATATAAATATATATATATATATATATATATATATATATATATATATATATATATATATATATATATATATATATATATATATATATATATATATATATATATATATATATATATATATATATATATAATATATATATATATATATATATATATATATATATATATATATATATCCGACTGATAGCAAATCAGTCGGGTTTCATTTCCGTTTGAGGCAGTCGGATGTTTAACCACACTGAACTGTGAAACTGCGAAACAGTCTGTATGTGGATGACAATATATTTACATACTCCTGAAAGAAAAAAAACTAATTCGGTTGAGTTCTTTTCTTTGGGGAGAAAAGTGAATTTGTAAATAGTGACCATTTCTGCTCGCAATGCAAGACTCGTCGTTAAGACGAATCGTGTTCTCCGGTCACTGGCGTGTTTGTCTAAAAATAAATACGTCTAAATTCAGCTTCATCCCCACCGTGCTCCAATTTTCGGGGTAAAATCTCCGACTGATACCAAATCAGTTGAGTTTCAATCCCGGCTTGAGGCAATTAGATGTCTATCCATACTGATGATCTGTGAAACAGCAAAACAGCCAGTGAATGACAGCATATATATATATATATATATATATATATATATATATATATATGTGTGTGTGTGTGTGTGTGTGTGTGTGTGTGTGTTGAGGCAGCGTATTTTCATTTAAACATGTTTTGTTGATTAATATTGAATCTCCATTTTGTAATTTGCATGTTCTGCTTTTTGAAAATTTTAAATGCAATGTCAATCATCATCTTTTTTTCCGTGACTCCTGTTCATTTATTGTCCACTCTGTTTCTTTTATTCTCAGTAAAATTCTTTGCGTCTTATTGGCTTTATCGCCTTTCTTGGGTTGAATGGTTAAAAAGAAACCTGAAAAATTATTATTGTATATATTAATACTGTCTCTTTGACATTCTATACATTTCATCTGTCTTTCAACCATCGTTTCGGCGTTTACAGCTTTCCAAGGGATTTTATATATCAAAACAATTCTACCTCAAGTAGTTCTCAGCCCTTGTACAGAGTGAACGTCATAGTAAGAAAAAAAAAACAAGTATTTAATTATGGGTCACAGATTTTCTGTTTAATTAATATTAGTAAAGGTCAGGCGCTAATCTATTAGGTGTGATTAGCATCCATTTTTTGGCAATGTGGACAAGACAATAGTCAAATCTACAGAATGTGAAGGAAAGTTGTCTTTAATTAATTTAATTTTTGGATTGAAGGTTCTTGATTGGAACATATAGCACTCAAAAATGTCATGTCCAAGAATTTACAATTCATTTTTGAGGCTATCATTAATTTTGATGCCGTCTTTAATTATTCTTTGTATAGTATTAGTCCGAAACCTTTATTCACTTTCCCAATATATGCTTATGATGATTCGGGACTATCTAATTTCTGCTGAATCCGAGGCATCTATTACGTAGAGTATATTGCAAATGACCCAGCGCGAGATATCATCAAACAAGAAACGGGCCCATTGAAAGACCTCGTAACAATCGTCAAGATGACGAAATTAAATACCATGGACACGTCATGAGAGCCATCTGCCTTTCCACTGCTGTCCTAAAATTGGGCAGGTTGGTTTTTCATCTATTTTTTTAGAAAATCAATATTATACTCGATGTGAAAGCTGGTGTTTCGTAGGATAAGTAATGACACCAAAATTAGGTTTTCATAGATTTTACCAATGTTTGAGTATTTAAATTTAAAGATCATCAGAATAATGTACAGAATACCCAATTTCCGCAGGTTACTGCTTACAAACTGACTTAAAGGCTTTACTATTTCAAGAATAAATCCAACTAAATTTTATATATTTTGTATTAGACACACTTAAAGGAAAATATATTCAAACCAATTTTAATTATGAATCACCACAAGCAAAATATGCAGGTTTTTGTCCGAGAAATTTTCATATATATATAGGATACAGGTTCAATTCCTATCGGACGATGAATATTTTCTATGAAGATTCCTCGGACATTCAGGCCGGTAAATGTTGTTAATACTGTTTATTAAAAACAGAGCATTTACTTATATATTCGTATCTATAAAAAGAATGTATAAACATAAAAATGTCTTAAAATAATTGTCGGACTTTGTCCATTTCATTATGTGTGGCGTAATTTGTTTACATTTGGATAAGCATCGAGCAGATATGAATGTACGTGAGAGGATCATGGAGAATTGTAATTTAAAACCAGTAAAATCGACCTTGCTAACCGAGAAGCTCTTCTGTGGCTCAATCGGTTAAAGGCACGTCAGGCTATATGACGGTTCCGTATAGGATACAGGTTAGATTACTGTCGGAGGACGAATATTTTCTATGAAAATTTCTCGGACATTACAACTCTTCTTCGTCAAGTAGCGTCTTACCAACATCGTGTATCAATTTAAATGTCCTTTGGAAGATTGCATCTCTGATATAAATCTTAATACGTATGCTGGTTTTACCATCAATTTTCTACAACCACCAAAAAATGAATTCGCGGACTTGAAAGGATTAAACTAAACTAAATAGATATGATACGTCTAAATTATTTAACCAAACATACCATCCTTGATACTTGAATATATATATAAATATATATATATATGTGTATGTGTGTGTGTGTGTGTGTGTGTATTTAGGCAGCAATTTTTCATTAATGCATGTTTCACTAAATAATATAGACAAGTTTTGTCTATTTATTTTAAGTAAGTTCCTTTCATATTGTCTGATATGATTAATAACATTATCATTGAAAAACGAAACATGCAACAAAAACGGACTATCATTATTGCTTCGTCCGTGTATTGTTTGATATATTGAAATGTAATTGTCATCTTTGATAATGGCTTATGTAAGCCGAAAGCTTAGCTAGGATTTAAACGTAACAATATGGTGATTTCCTTTTATCTTTTAATGATAATGTTATTAAGCTTATCAGACAATATGAAAGGAACTTAAAATAAATAGAAAAACTTGCCTATGTCATTTAATGAAACATGCATCAATATATATATATATATATATATATATATATATATATATATATATATATAGGGGTCTGGTCAGTTGCTCTGTTTTGCTACGTACAGTGGCCGTTAATATTTAAGTATAACTCAAGACTTCAATGTTAAACAGTATTTAATTATAACAACAGAACAAATAAATACTTAACAACGAAGTAAAAGTCAACCAAAGATAATTAACCATTTCAATGAATATCTTGTTAGTAGAGCGGCTCCTAAATCAAAACCCAAATCATCGACGCACAATAATTCACACTAATTCGACTGAATAGTTCCACTTAATAGTTACTTAATAATCACTCCAGTTAGCAGCCTGACACCGCTATTTATAAACATGGTGCAAACATATATTCATAAGTCCAGAGTGTCAGGTTCGAACCTCGGTGTCAGTAGTTACTCATTTTCTTCTTATATAGCACTCTGCGAAATTACGATCACACCTGGTCATCAGGATGATGCTAATGATGATGACTATTTCCATAAATGACCCAAGCGCTAGTCCAGCCATCACAGTCATCAATAAAAATTACTTTTCAGCTTCCAAGTACGTTTATGATCCTCTTGATAACACGGTCCCTTCTCAATATTTAGTAACTGGATGATTTTATAAATTAAAAAGAAAAAAAACTTAATTCTTAGATTTATGGTTTTTAAAATTCTTATGCTAAGGACTTTTGAATGGCTGTCAGTGCTCTCATAATTACAGACACTCTTGTTATTTTCAAATATTTCAGATCTCCAGAAGTGCTGATATTTCTCCAGTTTTTTACGCTTTTCAGATGGCCTCTGCGATCTGAAACAACGACGAAATCTTCAATCTGGTGTTCCGGCCTGCACTGAATGCGAAATTGTAACGCATAAATTAGTGAGTTTTATTTATCAAATTTAAAATAACAGAAAATTCTATTTCTACTACATCATCAAAACTGTCGAATATATAGAGATGGGTGGATTTTCAATCGTCATAAATGTGTCTTTGTTGTGTAAATAGTGAAAGTATTAAAAACCCATTAGAATACACACACACATATATATATATATATTTCTAAGCGCGCACACACACACACTCACACACACATATATATATATATATATATATATATATATATATATATATATATATATATACACACAGTTGTGGACCGAATTATTCGCCCCCACTGAATATTTGCATATTTTCTAAGGAAATGCAAATATTTCCAAGTACTTATTAAATGTATCATAAATAATTCATATAATTCGTGAAAGTTTTAGAAGTTTCGATGTATTATATTCGTGAAATTTAGAGTTTTATAAAAATTAGTGCAGTTCAAAATGAAAATTATGAAATAATATTACTCTATGGCAATTGAAATTTTTTTCTTAATTTGGATTTTAATACAAAGACCCTTTAAAAATGAAATAGTATTGACCTGATTCTATAACATTCTAAAAGATAATGAAGAAGACAATATGTGAGTACCACGTACCACGATAACACATTCGTTCTGCAACCATAGAGAAGGTGGCTGAACTTGACAATGAATGACGATAGTTGATGCATAAAAACAAGGTGACAGGTATGCAACACTTTCCAAACGTTTAAATGTTCCTAGATAGAAAATACAAAGCATTATCAACAAGTACAATGAGGCTCATTGTATTGCGAATGAATTAAGGATTGGCAGAAAACGCTTCATTTCTGAGAGAATGGAAAGGAAAATTGTTAGAGATATCCCGAAGAATTTTCACTTAACGACAAAGGATATTGTCAATGATGTAAAGACATCCGGGTTGAAGATGCTTTCATCAAGTTGGACTTCGAGCTTTTCGCCTAAGTAAAACTTCCTTGCTTAAGGATAAGTACCTAAAATACGGATTAGCTTATACTAGAAGCCATTTAAAACATGGAAGTAAATAATGAAATTCTATTTTATGATCAGATGAAACGAAACTAGAATTATTTGGTTACATGAACTCCCGTTATGTACGGAGGAAAATGAATGAAGCTTACAAACCAAAACCTATCCTCCCTACAAATAAGCAAGGTGGTGGATGCATTCTGCTCTGGGGATGTTTTGCTGTTTCTGGACCAGGAGAACTAGTGAGAATACAGGGTGTCATGGATAAAGAGCAGTATTTGGCTAGTCTTAAAAATAATATAAAACAAAGCGCACGAAAGTTGTCTTTAGGGGCATCACTGGACGTCCCAACATGGCAATGACCCGAAACAAACAGCACGAATTGTTACAAAATACTTAGATGACAGCAAAATTAAGGTATTGGCGTACACCACATAAAGTCCTGAGGTAAACCCCATTGAAAATTTATGGTCATATTTGAAGTAAAAAGTAAGCAAAAGAATTTCTCCGAATTTGGAGGATGGAAGAATGGAGCAAAATATATCAGCGAGTGTAGTGACCGTATAACTATCAAAAGGGTTAAAATCAAGAATAAAGATGACACAATTGATTACTGAGGCAAGAAGGCCAATAATTTTGTCCTATGTTAAATATTTTTGGCGTTTTTTTGTATTATTGTTTGACAGTAAAATGAAAATTTTGTGGGCATCACTGGACATTTTTCAAACCCATTATTTCATAATTTGTGAGAAAAATGCACAAGAAGATTTCATGAAAATTTTAGATATTACAGATTAATTTTTAATTATGGAAGTGGGGGGGCTGAATAATTCTGTCAACAACTGTATATATATATATACACACATACAAATACATATCTATCTACGTACATATCTATCTACACACGCACACACACACACACACACACACACACACACACACACACACACACACACACACATATATATATATATATATATATATATATATATATATATATATATACCAACACAGACACACACATAAATCTAGACGCATACATACACATAACTACACGCATACAGGCAATATCTTCTACATCTGGAGAGCAATATGAAGTTCTTCAAATAATACTTCTTATTTTTCTTAGGGTTGGTGTATTTTTCTGGTTTCCGGGATATTTTAAAAATATAACATCATCACCACCAGCGGTCGATCACCGGCGGTCGGTCACCAGCGGTCGATCACCAGCGGTCGATCACCGGCGATCAATCACCAGCGGTCGACCACCAGCGGTCGATCACCAGCGGTCGGTCATCAGTGGTCGATCACCAACGGTCAATCACCAGTGGTCGATCACCAGCGGTGAACAGGGTTAAATTCTAATGGGGTAAAATCGAAATTTCTGGAAATCTGAAAGGAATAACTAGATTTTACCTGGACAAGTCAGGACTAAATTGTGTGATTGACATAAAGCGAACCGAAGGGACAAAACAATCAGCGTAGATAGATCGAATATTGTTTTATTCCCAAGTACTTTCGACATATCCATGTCATCGTCAGTAATAAAACAAATATGTATAAACACGGCGATTTTCTCTCGCCTTTCAGTAATGATATTAAAACCTTATCCGACAGTATAAAAGGATCTTATCGAAAATGAGTCGACAGAATATGTCTAAACTGTAAAACGATACATGTCTTAATGAAAACATGCTGCCGAAATATACGCATATATATATATATATATATATATATATATATATATATATATATATATATATAATGTTCTAACACCTAGGACGAAGGTGATATTTAATGTGAGAACACATGAACACAATATACATATACATATATATATATATATATATATATATATATATATATATATATATATATACACACCAGAATTACCTTTTAAAATATAGTAATGAAAAGTTTAGAATTTCTATAAACAAACACCATAAGCCTATGTCTATTTAACTACAACAGTGAATGACAATGAAGATAAAAAAAACCATCAGAAATAATTTACAGAATAAAACACATTTAATATCTACATGCACAATAAGTTTACCGAACTCAAAACATAAAATGATTTCACATTTATTTCCGTAACTATATTATTGATGAACAAATTAAACTAAATAAAAAACGAACAATAATATTGCAAAAATAACCAAAAATAGATGAAAAATTCATGTAAACTCTAATAACTAAATAGATGCCGTCGAACGACAAAAATAAATAAATTAAATACATCAAATAAAAACAAAAATTAAACCTCAAAAATGTTCATCACCAACGATACAACAAAAATCAAGATATCGACCCCGAAATATATTGTTTTATGTGGATTGTTTATTTTGTATAATAATATCTTCTAAGATTTTGATTTGCATTGGCTGCTGTATATTATTTTAGTATTGTCAATTAATACTTGACTTACGTTGATAGTTGCATTTTAATTGCTTCTTTTGTGTTTTTCGATATTGGTACGAATTGCACTAAATTTCGAAAAGTGACAAGTCAGTCTACGAGAATGTGTAGTACATGTGTGGTCGATGTAAAAAATGTTATTTGTTTTACTGTTGATATTAGCTGTTCAGTCATAATAATTCGTAAACAATATTTATTTACGGGAGGATTTTTGATTTATAGGCAATGTCTAGGTTAATTGTTTTGAATATTTTTATAGTAAATAATACATCTAAAGTGTTTGTCGGAATCATTAAGGGAATGTGTAACAGCGATTTATATTTTTAATGGCTTTTTTCATCCTGTTAAGAATTACGATGGATCAGGTTACGAAATAATAAGTTAATTATGGGCTTATTTTCATGCATGTGTTATTTTTTTAAAAGCTAATTTTATTCGTCAACCACATGTTTGGAGAAATTATTTTTGATAAATACTTGTTTTATGCTTCTTCTTCTTCTTCTTCTTCTTCTTCTTCTTCTTCTTCTTCTTCTTCTTATTATTATTATTATTATTATTATTATATTTGCTATGTCCCTTCAGGACGTTGCCAACCATGGCTCTCCACAATTTCCTGTCTTTTGTAGGCCTTAAAAAATTTTGTTTTTTTTTGTTATCTCTCCTAAACTTTGTTCCGTCATCTGTTTACTCAAGATCGAAGGGTAGTTTATGCGTTTGTATTCCTCTGTCCCTTTTGCCTTCAGTCAGACTTGTGAGTATCAAATTTTCCACACCTTCTTTCTTCATTATACACCATATACATTTCAACAGTCTCTTCCTGATTTTACGTATAAATATCCATTTTGATGCAATTTTCTCAAAAATTTCGTCGTTGGTCGCATGTTGGTCCATGACATTCTAGGATCTTTCTGTAGAACCATATTTCTGTTGCTTCAAGGCTCATCTAGCACGCACTGATATTACGTAACAGTTTATTCCTGTTTGCTTTGGTTCAAACGAAGGTCTTTTCTTTCTTAATATTTTGATTAGCTGTTGTAAATGTCGGACTTTCTACCTTCCGTTAAAACACTTCTCAGATATTGAAATTGTACTTGTTTGATTTTGTTATCTCCAATTTGTAATTTGCATGTTGGCCTGTTCCTTTTGCTAACAACCATGCAAATATTTTTCGTCCTTTCTTCTCGCTTTCCTTCACTACTTTATGTAGGAATTCTTGTAGTTTCCTTTCGGAGTCTGCTATCAACACCGCGTCATCTACTTATCTTATGTTGTTAAGATTGTGCCAGTCAATTCTGGTAGGATTTCTAATTCTCTCAGAAACGTCTCGCTCGCTGTATAGGTTGAATAAGTCCGGTGAGAAGACCCATCCTTGTCTTACAACCCTTTCTATTTCTGTATATTTACTGAATTCCTTTTCTATCTGCATGCATGCGGTTTGCTGCCAGTATAGGTTCAGAATTATTCTGAAGACCTTTCAATATATATATATATATATATATATATATATATATATATATATATATATGTGTGTGTGTGTGTGTGTGTGTGTGTGTGTGTGTGTGTGTGTGTGTTGTATTAAAAGATAAAATTTGGTGCCTGGTTCCACACACCAAAACAAAAACAAAAGCCTATATAAATATGAGTTATTTTTTGGGAGTTATTCAGTTTAAAGAAAGTTTAAGTATATATGGCGCTGTGTTGCCATGTAGACTAGGTTATATTTGTCATTCTTGTACATTTGTAGATAGTCTATCTTCAATGTTTGACGTGTGTAATAGTGAGTTAACTGAGAAGTGTTTCGTTTAACAGTGGCAGGATATTCATATCGTGAGCAGGCTGATGTAATTTTTACATATGGCCGCATGAATGGTGATGGACGCGAGGCTGCATTTGCTTCTGTTTATCGTCTCCTTGAACATATTCTGCAGGTCGAAGACCATTCAAGTATCAGAACACATCAAATAGCACTAGGATGTGATACATGTCATAGTACCGCATGGAGTGTACTTCAAAGGCAGCTCCTGGATCATTTGCAACCTGTGTAGGGTCTTTCTCCTTCTGATCACTCACCATGAGAGAATTTTTGCCGATGGTCTATTAAGCAGACTCCCGATGCGTTGTTTGTCTCTTCCGTTTTGTTTACAGATGAAGCAACATTTAGAAGAGATGGAATAATAAATTTACATTTGTGTGCGAATCGGAACCCATATGATACAATACAGGTTAGAGACCGGTATCAGTTTACGATTAATATGTGGGCTGTAATGTAGGTGACTGTCTGGTAGGTCCATATGTTCTCCCAGCACGTCTTACAGGGACTTTCGAACATTCTTCCAGATCGGCAAGAGGATGTACCCCTGCTAATACGAAGACGCATGTGATTCATGCATAATGGAGCTTCAGCATATTTTAGTCACATTATTCACGATGTACTGACTGACATCTACCATGAAAGATGGATAGGTAGGGGAGGACTAGTTCCAAGGTCTGTACCCTTACCAAACGTCAATCCTTTGGATTTTTATCTGTGGGGCCATCTAAAGGAATTCGTTTATGTAGCAGACATTAATAATGCAGAGACGCGCCATAAACGTTATCATGGTCTACGAAACCATTCGATATCGTCTGTTATTATTTGAAAGAGTACACCAGTTAATGATCCGACGGTGCATGCATGTGGAGAAGCAAGCGGGGGACATCTTGAACATTTGTTATGGGTTGTTTTGTTGAGGTACAACAATGGCCTTTTAGACTTATGTTTATATGGATATTTTACATTATTTTGGTGTGAGGAAGCCTGACCCAACGTTTGTAAAAATGTGTTTCTATTGTATCATTCATTGTACATTTAACAGTGTCTACCGCAAAATTTAAACTTAAAATCGAAGGATTTGCGGGTATTGGCTTATATGGACTTTTGTCCATGAAAAATTTCAAAGCAACGACAAACTCGTGTCTACGAGACGCGGAAGCGAAAATCGCGTCGGAGCTCGTGACGTCACACATGACCACGCGAGAGTGAAAGCGAGAAGTATTAAGTATGCAACAAAAACAGACTATCATTATCGTTTCGTCCGTGTATTGGTTGATATATTGAAATGTAATTGTCATCTTTGATAATGGCTTATGTAAGCCGAAAGCGTAGATCGGATTTAAACATGTATCAATATGGTAATTTCCTTTCGTCTTTCAATGATAATGTTAAGATTATCAGACAATATGAAAGCAACTTAATTAAAATAAATAGACAAAACTTTTCTATATTATTTAATGAAACATACATCAATGAAAAATTGCTACCTAAATATACAAATATATATATATATATATATATATATATATATATATATATATATATATATATGTATGTATGTATGTATATATAATAATTTAAGACCACAGAATGCATAGCTTGTTTCAAACAAACACTGTTTAGTGTATATTTTTTTTAGCTTCGAAGAGATTATGTATGTCCAGATTGATGGGGTCTCTATGGGTAGCCCTTTGGGCCCTGCTTTGGCCAACATTTTTGTTGGATATGATGAGAGCGTATCTTTTGAGAAATGGCAGAAGCTGTATATATACGTACGTCATGATACATTTTCCATGTTTGATACCATCAACGAGGTAGCTTGTTTTCGCCAACAGTTGAATTCTCTTCAACCCTCCTTGGTATTTACGATGGAGGTAGTGGAGGGAAATTCGCTTCA